TAATCGATACAGCTTTGATATTTTTACACGAAATAGAAGAAGACGTAGCGATAATTTCTGCATACTCAACTCAAAATTTGTATTTTTCGGATTATGACACTACTAAAGTAAATGAGCGATGTGTATATGTTTATTTGCCTCCACCTGGTCCGAAGATTCTCACAATTTTCTCTTACTCATATCTATTTAAGAGTTTGACCAACCATCTCTTCGATGACAGGCAAAAGCCCTGGTGCAGACAAAATCCCGTACCCCGTTCTAAAAAATCATCCGTATCCCATCAAACATAGAGTCATTAAACTCCATAACTACATTTTATTTCAAGGGTTATATCATCAAGAGTGGGAAACTGCTATTATTATTCCTATTGCCAAACGTAATACGCTAATGATATTTTAATTTTTTCTAAGACTAAGGACTTGACGCAAGTAAAAATTATTTTTTTCTAACATACTAAACGATCTAATCAATTGGTCCAAATCTTCAGGAGCTTAGATTTAAGCTGAAAAAGTAATTTTTTCACATATGCAGAAAATACAAATAAATACATACATCCAACCCTCTCCTTGTCTAACACCCCTCCCCTATACTGATACATTGAAAATATTTGGAATGATTTTTTACAATAAACCTACTTTTAAGCAGAACTGTCATTATGTAAAAGTTGACTTTGGGCTCGTAATTTATGGACACTGCGCAAAAAAACATCTTAAATTGCTAGAAACACCTTACTATGTAGCAGAGGAGAAAAAGCATCCGTGCATTTCCCCCCTCGCCAATAAATGCTATCTCTCACGTCGAATCCTGCTTTCAACAAAAAAACTGATGTAGCAAGCAATCACCTTTATTTCGTATATTAAGCTACATCAAAGAATTCGACATCATCCGATGCTTACTAAAGTAAAAACTCTACCGCAAGGGCATTTGCCCAGTTTGATACTCATAAATTACCTGGGAGCTTATTTTCACAGACGGTTCCAGATATGGTGGTAACCAAAGGGCTGGGTGTTACAATTGTCTTCAGTGCTTTTCCCCCGTACTGCTCGGCATTTATAGCCGAATCAGCTGTACGTTTCGCCTCTATAAACGAAGGAAATTTCCTCATCTGAACGGACAGTAAACCAGCCAGCGAAGCCTCTTTTAACAGTGCTAATGATTCTCATATAATTTCGAAATCACGTGAAATACTCTTTTGACACAAAAACACATTAAACGCATTAAAATCTTAGTTTAACATAGTATTTACGTCTAAAGAACTGACATTTTCATTATTCTGCAAAACCCTCTATCAGCAAATTTTTCTATATAAATAGTTATAATTCGAATTGCAATAACCTCTATCTGATCTTTAAACTAAAATTAAATGAATTAAAAGTAAAAAACTAGTTTTAGTATATTGCGTGAATATTTAAGACATGCGTGTGTACTTAAAATTATTAACACTTTTAAAAACAGCTGCCAAAACAGTTTTTTTGCTCTCCTGAAAAATTGAGTTTTTGCAGATATAAGCCCTCGACATATGTATATAGATTTGAACTAACCATGGTATTTGGGTATAGGGGTTATTAAAATCCATGTAGGATCTTCAAAACTTTCACATTCGAATATACACAGCTCTGGAATACTTGATTTTTAACTTTGACTTTTATTTCTGCTCAAAAAAAATAAAGGAAAATTTTAACTTTTGTTTTTGCCTTAAAAAAATAAAAAGCAGAAATAATCGTTATTATTTGCTCAAAATGATAAAAGTAAAAAACTTACTTAAATTTTTTGACTTTTATTATAAAATGCATAACCGGTACGGTCTCTGGTTTTGCTCGTTTGTTGTTCGTGCGAGTTACATTCTGTTACTTTAACAGCTATGTTATTTCTCTCTACACTACTATGTCAAGCTCTCCTTTAATTTTAAGCTAACATTGTAATTTAATCTTCAGATTCTCGTTGAATAAAACACAAGCTCAAGCTACGACCTGCATTTTTCATTTCCATTACTGGCGCAGTCTAACGGAAAAAAGAACAGTATAAAAAAAAAAATTGACATTAAATAGGATACAAACACAATTTTTTTGCGAAAATTTAAAAATAAAAAAAGTGAACATTTTAAGTGTTTGTAAGTGAGCGGTGCGCTTGTACTTTGAAAACATATCCATCGATATATGAATAAAATAAAAAACTTAAAGAAAGAACACCAGCAAAAGTGCTAAAAAAGCTAAAAACTAATACCATATACCATATTTTCATACCTCGTGGTTATAAAATTCTATTGCCATTAGAAACGTAGTACATATGTATGTACTTTTACATTGAAAAGTGATAAATATATATGTAAGTACATACATATATAGTAGCAGTTGCAAAAACAACAACACTTACATAGTGTACAGTGCTGAGTGCTAGGTAAATACCGGTCAAGCAAGTTTAGTACCTGTAGCTGACACTCATTTCCCCTACCAACGAACAATGGCGCAAGCAAATGAGACTCCAGTACTAACGTTCCAGCTCTCAATGAACGATATCATCAAAGATGCACACAGAGTGCATGAGTTCAGGGGCGATGGAGTATATGCCCCACGATCCAGAAAATAAAGGTCGCGCCATTCGCGGACCGCTAACCCTCTCTTCGTCGATTTGACAGCATCCACCCATTCGCTGACGTCACACAATACTTTTGTTTACATTTTCTGGTTCGTGACATTTTAGGTTATTTCAACTTTACAAATTTACAAATTGGAAAGATTTTGAGCGTTGTTTTGTTTTTTGTGAAAACTTATAAAAAAGTTATAAATTAAAGAAAAAAATGAGGTGTGCAGTGATTAAATGTGCTAGTGTTAGTGCCAAAGGATCCGGGTGCAGTTTTTTTACTTTTCCGGCCGACATTGAGTTGGTGGAAAAGTCGATCCAGTTCTGCCGGAGACCAACGGATTTCAACGCCCGAACCAGCGTCATCTGTGTAAAACACTTCACCACTGATGACTTCGAGAACGAGCTACCTACGAGAACCTATAAATTGAATCCGGCATCAGATCACATGCAATAAACGGCAACATTTCATTACGATGTATTTTTTATTTATTTGTTATTTGAAAATATAACACGTTCCCCTGATAAAGCTTTTTATTTATACATACTGACCTTCTGCTTCCTACCGGAAATGTTAAGCCGTATGCATAAAAAAAAGCAATTGCTTTTTTCCTGAAATTGCATACCTTTCACTTAAATTTGTTTGAACATAATATTTGAATTATTAATAAACAAGCACATGTGCTTATTGCCAATAACAATTTCTATTTTATTTAGTTTTAAACTTTTCTTTATATATTTATGATTACATAAATCGGTTCTCGTTTTATTACACAGGATCATCTCAACTTTTTATAGAAAATTTTGAAAAAAAGGGAAACTAAGTGAAGTAATTTTATTATTGGCAGAATTAGTGTCTAACCCTACGTGACTGCTTCTAAAAGCTATCGTGTTTCACGTGGCATATAAGACTTAATTTCATTATTACATTAGTGTTTTTTATATGTATGTATATGAATAGGATATTATATATTTATGTATTTAAAAACCCACAACTTTAAGACCGCGCATCTGACTTGTTAAAATCTTGCCGTGTCACAAACATATTCGTTATTATATAAGGAAAACTACGAAGAATATGAAAAAGAATATCAGTACTGCGAAGATTTTTATCATCAGTTTGGAAGTACTTCAATATTTCACCATGCGCCGCTTCTATGTTCAATTCGGCATCTTGTATGTTTGTATCGATACGCTCCACAGTCTCCTCTTGCTCCTTAACCATATGTGCTGATTGTTGAAATATACCGCCTAACTCGACAATAGTCGATTCAATGTTCTGCATAGTCTCAGCCCGCTGTTGCACGTAACTATCGGAGTCATCATATAATGCAATCTGCTGCTGCGTCTGTATTCCACTACCTCCGACTGCACCCAGCAATGGTGTTGTATCACTTGCGGCCATGTCAATGCTTACGGCCGTATTCTCTTCGCTTAACAGCAAGGAGCCCTGTTTCGCTGTACTCGAGCGAACAGTGCTAGCAGCAATTGGTGACTGCCCGAATTGATCCCGACGCGCTTTTTGTTGTTTGAGATTTTTTATACGCACTTCTAGTATCTGTTTGAAGTCGGTGCCCATGCTGGCTAATTTAGATTGTAACGCATACACCATGATGTAAGTCAATTCTTGAATCTATTGCGGTCGATCATCAAAAAGACTCTTCTTTTTAGCCACTGCAAAAGAAGAGGTAAAGTAATATTTATAATTAAGAACACCTATTCATTTTATACTCACGCATTGTCAATTTTTCCAACTTGGCATATGCACTTGCTATGTTTTTGCCAAGATATTTGTGACCATCATAAATTCCTTTCATACGTCAATTGTTGCACCATAGCCTGTAAGAAATGCGTAAACATAATAATGTAAACGTCTTCAAATGCACTTCTACTTCTAACTTACTTGTAAGTCTCTAATCTGTTGCTCGTACATAAATTGCGTCTGCGTCGAGGTCTCTATCCGATTGCGGCCTTGGTTTACATTGGCCTTATCCGACAACTGGCGTATGATAAGCTGCGCCATTTCCAACTAATTTGACTTTTCTTTGAATTGATGTTCAACATCGGGAGCACGTTGCTGCATTACATCTAACAGCTTTTTCATTTCATCCAGATGAGCCGCTTGATGTGGCCAACACCCAAAAGGTTTGTTTACAAAGTGCATTTTTGAGTAGTTGAACAAATGCCAGTGGGTAGCTAGCGGGTCAGTTGCTGGCAACAATTTCAAGTTCAATTACTGAAAAAATGCAAATCATTATAATGATTGCAGTGTTTTAACACTTTCAGCGATTTGCATTGCATTTAAGAAGTACACATTCTTTACTTTTAAACAACCAATTTACCATTTAAAATTAAATAATTCCGTAAATCCGCGATTTATTATGCACTTTGTCAACAAACCTTTCAATTTCGCCCCAGCTGTTCGATTCTTCTTCTTTTTCTTATTGAATTCGTCTTTGCTCTCTCATTCTGGTATTTTTTGGCGTCACGGCCAGTTGCTCTCAGCTCGATTGGCGCAATCTTGTATTCTAGCATTCTTGTATATGCCCTCTCTTCGTTTTTAAGAGAAGTGGATGCTATTTTAGCAATGCTATACACAAATCCAATGGCATGCGAATATATTCTCCACATTATCAACAAAATACAAGGTAAAGCTTTACATACCATAAGAACATTACCTTTAGATGCAAATTGGACTGCAATCAAAGAAATTCTCATACGAAATTTTGGCATAAAAGAGACGTATCATCAACTTTACCAAGAGGCGCTTGCAGCTCGAAACAAAAACATAACCGACTATTTTACAGAATTGTTAAATATGTTATCTAAGTTAAACGAAAAATATGAATATGATGTTAGCAAACCATTATGGTGCATTTACATGGTATGAATCTGTTCATAAGCCGTATGAATTTTCCTATAAAAGAAGCACCAACTCTATGAAGAAATGAATGAAAGCGATATATATTTAACAATTTTGACTTGTATACTAGACAATATTTTTTTTGTAAACAACAAATAAAAGAATTTTATTTTGTGCTAGCTTCGAAACTAGAAGCTTATTTTTTTGTTAAATGTGCTTTAAAAAGGACCTACTGCCAATAAAGCCTTGTGGATTGCTATTTTTCCATATTTGTAATGCTTCCATTTAAACATCTTTGTGGAAAAACAGCTTTTTGTTCAGAATTGCTTGTTTACGAAACGTTTGGCATAAGTTGAAATCATAGGGATGCCGTTTTCTTCCGTTTCTCAGTGGATTTTATACTTGAATGGGCACCAAAATATGTATGCAATACTTCTACATATCTTCGTTTAAAGCACAAAACCGCGCATCAAGGAAATGCAAAACCTCGTATGGGAGGTTGCCTAAATTTTAAAAACGGTTCTCTCTTTTAAACTTAATAATCTTCTCTCCTTATGTCTAAGTCGATATTTTATTATAAATGGCTAAGGGCTTGATGTCAGGAGCTTCCGATGACCAAATATCTTTTTTGGCACAAATTTCAGTTCCGAGGTTTTGCAGAACCACGATACGCGGTTTTGTACTTTAAACGACTAATATGTATATGGCTTGAACAATATGTTAGTGTTTGGCCTAGCTTCTCCTCCGATATGCGGCGTGCGTGTTTTTGACACACAAAGTAAAGGACAGTTTTACGCCGACTCCGAACGGCAATTGTATTTTAATGAGAAGTTGTTTCCATGACAGAATACACTCGGAGGTTTACTATTACCAACAGAGGGGCAACCACTATTAGAATAACTGGGCTTGAACTCAGGCTCTGCGTAATGCTCTACAGCAGCCGCCACTACTTTTACATATATTGCTGGTATATTCAAAATACTATCCCGAACTTCGGAGTGTATATATGTAATATAAAAAAGAATGAGAGGTACTATAAGAAAATGTACCCAAATTTCTGGAGCAAATGAAAAAATGCTCATTGAAAACAGTTCACATGTATAAATTAAAAGATATAACTTAATAGGTTTCAGCGCTAAACTAAAGGAAAAGTTAGAAAAAATAGCAATGCGGTGTGAAGGAAATAAAAGACCGTAAAATGTTTCTTTGTTTCGTTAATTCTCTGAACCTATTAAGATATGACACTCCATTGTTTGCAGTAGTTTGCAAATATTCACTAATGGTTCTAAAATCGCAAACATTTTCGTGGGATGTTTTTGTTTGATTTCGAATTGAAAATACATTACGATCATATTGTACCGAAATAAGTGCGGTATCCCTGCATTTTTGTAAAAGCCAGAAAGAAGCATAAACTGTATGAAAAAATGAAAGGGAGAAGTATACATGCCTTCTATAATTTTGACTTATATGTATATTTGGCAAGTCTTTGTGTAAACAACAAAAAATACAAATTTTCATTTCTTTGCCAGCTTGGAAAATATAGGCTTATTTTTACTTAAACGTGATATAAAGCTCATTAAAATGTTCTGTAATGTCTTGTTTTTAAGTTTGTTATCATGTTCTTCGTATTTTTATTGTCCACTATACGTGAGTGGCTTCAATTTAAAAAGTTCTAGTACAAAGAATTTCTTTGTTTTGAATTTGTTTGTTTATTGTTTTTAATTTTTAAAATTCATACTTTTGACATGTATGTGAATGGCGGAGTTGCCGCTTTCCTCCTTTTCGGTGGGTTTTTATATTAAAAAGGCATCAAAATGGGAAAAACCCCCCTTGGTATCTCTGCATCTGTTAAACTTTTTATGGGAAGATGTATGAAAATTCAACTTGCTATAATTTCATATGCTTAACAGTATCACAACAGTATGTTTACAGTATCTCCCCATAACTTTTCATATGAAAAAATTTATTATATGCATCCCACTCGTTATCATTGAATTCCTCATTAGAACATGTAGTCCCTCTATTTTAGCGTATCAACAGTTCATATGGCTTCATACCATGTAAATGCGCCATTAGAGTTTAGCCCTTCAAACACAGAAAAAATTATTCTACGTACATTTCTAAATAACGTAGATGCAAACTTAGCTGCTGTTATAATTAACAGAAATATTACTAGTTTAAGAGATGGTTATTATTTATTGGAAAGTGAGGGTTTGATTCGCGATAATAAAAGATTTGGTAGTAATTTTTATTCAGATAATAATTCTAATTATATGAAACAAAATAAACAGTCACATACAAATTTTAATAACAAATACAATACTAATGAACAAGATTTGCAAAATGACATATATAAACAAAATTTTAGAGGACAACAACAATATACAAATTCTACTAACCAAAATTTTCAAAAATATGCAAATAGAAATAGCGGTAGCTGGTCAGGACAAAACAATTATAATAATTCACGACAATCTAACCAATTTAGGTCTCAAAACTTTAATGAATACAGACGTAATAATAGCACAAATTCCAGAAGAAATGAAGAAGAGTTAATGGATACTGATCATGTACAAGTAGATGAATCTAAAAGAAACGAGGTGTCTAATTTTTATATAACGGCCTCAAGGGAACACTTCCGTTGATAGAGTTAAATATAAGAGATGATAAAATTGTGTGTTTGGTAGATACTGTCTCATCGACTTCACTTTTAAATGAAAATGTCTTATCCCATTATAAAAGAATTCCACTTAAAACTCCCTTGAAATTCAAATCACTTAATAGTAAAACTGAAATAAATTATGAAATAATAACTGATTTGCCAGAAGAATTTAAAAGAAATGCAACAATTTCTTAGAAATTGACTAGTTTTGAAGGAAAAAATTTCGACGCTATTCTCGGACAAAATATTTTAAAACCATTGAATGCGATCATAGACATGGAAAAGGAAAACATTACCATAAATAATTGTACAATCGAATTTTTAAAAGAATTTCCATATAGTTTAGACGAAATTAATCAACTTGAAATTATTAACTTAGATAAAATAACTACTGATCACCTTTATAATAACTTGAATTTGGAAGAAAATAGTGCGTTAAATATAATATTAAATGAATTTAAGGATTTAATTTACACTGAAGGTCAACAGTTAACCAATACGAACATTATACAACATGAAATTAAAACAATAACCGATAAAGCAATTTACACTAAAATTTATAGATATCCTCAAATCCATGAAAATGAAGTAAATACACAAATAGCAGATATGCTAGAGCAAGGCATAATACAAGAAAGTAATTCTCCTTACAACAGTCCTCTGTGGGTCGAACACAAAAAGGCAGACCTAGCTGGAGAAAAAAAGGGGAGGATTGTTGTTGATTACCGAAAATTGAATGAAATTACAACAGACGATAAATTCCCAATACCGAATATTGATAACTTACTAGACAAACTTGGACGAGCACAGTACTTTCCGACTTTGGACTTGGCAAAAGGGTTTCACCAAATTCTTGTGAAACAAGAAGACCGGTTGAAAACTGCCTTTTCCACTCCATATGGTCATTACGAGTACGTTAGGATGCCTTTTGGCTTAAAAAATGCTCCTGCAACGTTCCAAAGATTAATTAATAGTGTTTTAAAAGATTTTATTAACAAATTATGTGTAGTTTATTTAGACGATATACTAATATTTTCAACAAGTTTCGACGAGCATATTACAAGTATAAAAAAAATTATGTCTAAGTTAAGAGAAGCTCAATTAAAAATACAAATCAACAAATGCAAGTTTTTTTCGAAAGAAACGTTATATTTAGGTCACGTTTTGACACCTAAAGGCGTCAAACCAAATCCGGACAAAATTAGACATATATTGGATCTAAAGATACCAAAAACCATTAAGCAATTTAAATCGTTC